CACACAAGAAAAAGATGGCAGCAAACAACTATTCACTGACTCAAACTCAGCACAACTCAACATGACTTCATCATTAACAACAGAACACATCTTTACATTGGTACACACTGGAGACTTGTTACCATCACATTTAAATTTCATAATCTGACAGCTGTTATTGCAGCCCTAGCTGCAATAACTTCTTTGTGGGTGTGTATTATTGTCCCATTCTTTAGTGAAACCAGTAAAATGAGTGCAGCTGATTCAACTCAAAAGTCAGCTTTGGTACCTGGCACAGGGACTGGACATGGCCAGGAAGAAAAATTAGTCAACATATTACTTTTTATTCTTTTTAATTTGCTCTTGGTGATGATATAGTGTTTATGTAGTGTGAAATAGTGTGTAGTCTATCAGTGTGTTCTTTTGATGGTTTTTATTTCCAAATGTCTCTCCTGTTTTCTTGTTCTCTTAGACAGTTTTATTGTTATATCCCACATCCACAGGACCTTTTAATGGTCTTCAGTGTTTTTTCAGTGGCCAAAGAGAGGACCGAGTTTAGGTGTATTTGCTTTCCTGGGAGAGCTGCAGAAAGGCCACAGGGCAGGGAATCTAACAACCAACGATTGAGATTTTACTTTGTGACTTTGATCATACTGATAAGCCCTGGTTTAAGTGATCTATTCAAATATGTGGACAGTAGTTTATAACTGGGTAGACTAATGTTCCTGTTTTAATTCATCTCCATATTATTGCGTTAAGTTGCACTGGGTTGGGAGTGGTTGTGTGCGTCACATTTGCGGTGAGCCAATGGCTGTAATGGGGTTGGACTAATTGGAGGCAGGTATAATTGATTGCACTGATACGGTAGTCTACTTATAGCCCAAACTACAAACACCTCTGATGACACGATATGTTTGGGATGGATGGGTTGTGTGCTGTGAATTATATAGTGAACCATGTTATTTTCTCTCTCTGTGCAGGCCAGGTCCTACTATATGCTTCAGCCTTAAGGCAGCTGTGTTGCAGAGGCCGGAGTGATCACTGGCTATCTACTTACAGGGTGGTGGGTCTCAGAAGACAAATGCTAACCCTGTTGAAGTTAACAAGGTGTGGAGAGCTTTGTGGCATAGCTGGCTCTTGCCTTGGACTGTGTTTTTACTTTATATGCAAATGGTACATTGGGCTGTATCTTCTTTTTGATCATTGTGTTAAAAATTTATTTTAGAATTTCATTGACTGTCATCTTTTTGCCCACGGCTGAGATGGTTGGTCAGACGTAGAATCTTTTTGTGTGTAACAAGTTTGTTAGTTTCTATCATGATGCCAAGTAAAGAAGCTGCTTTTGGAACACAGCAGAAGGATACTGAATAACGAGCCCTTTTAGAAAGGTTGGTGGTTTGTTCAGAAGACTGCTGTAAACCTTTCTGAAGGTAAAGGATGGAAAAGAGAGACAGAGACATGTAGTGGGATGATGAAGATATTCAGACCGACAGATGATCTGGTAATGAAATTAGTGTGGGATTTGGATATATGCTAGCAAATGTAAACATGCCACTCTAGTGACATAGCCTCAGAAACGAGACACGACACAAATGAGCATATGCAAGCAGTGGCGGTCCTAGCCTGTTTGGCACCCTGGGCAAACACTCCCCCTGGCGCCCTGTTAACTAATTTCACTTCCTCCAGCCTTTGTGTTTGTACTTCTCTATAAACACCTGCTGAAAGCAGCAACTTGGAAAGCTGTTAGGCTGAAGGAGTCCTTTCAGGCTGGTTGGAGGTTGGTTTAGAGGGTTTCCGCATCTCAACTGATGGAGACGGTCTGCTGCTATTGTTGCTGCCATCTGTCACAGTTTGGTACATCTCTGTCACATATGAAGTCATGGATAACTTAATCAGTATGATTACCTGAGCAGGTGAGATTCAGGATTTGATCAGTGTATGCCGATGTTGCACAATCCCTCAGAGGAGATCCTGGCTGAAGACAATCAGAACTAATCTTCCATCTAGATCTCCATGAGAAATTGTGGCTCTTTTTAACGGAAAAAGCTGAGCCACAGTCCAGATGTATGCACACAACAGCTGTTTCTTTCAAGCTCCAGTCAGAGCTATACACAGGTCTCCACTCTCTCAGATTTGGCGCTTCCAGTATACCTGTACAGCGACTGGCTCCTCCCACCAACCTGAAATCACTCTCTGAACAGAAAGCAGAGAGTCATCAGTAAAAGAACAAAGTGAGTTTGAACCAGATCAAAGC